TCACGACCATGGAATATCTTGGGCTCAGGTGGCAACAATGACAGTGAATTCGAACTTCAGGTAATCAGAATACATTCATCAGCTCTTGAACACGCACACCTATTTTGAATACTGGAAAAGGCTCTGCTGATCTGTGGACAATGGATTATTACCCGAGTTCAGCAAAGTCAAGCAGTACAGACTGATGATCCTCTGTCAGAAGCAACTCCATCTGAGAGGGCCGAAATCAATTCCAGAACTTCTCGGTGCATCTTCTCTGCATATTGTCGCATTTCGATCACATCATTTGAGATATGGAGACCCTGAACCTGCGTGATATTTTCAATTAGCAACTCAGTGCCAACAGCATGTAAATCCACCTTGAACACATCGAGGGCGTGTTCAAGTCCCTGACGGCAATCCTTCAACAATGTGCTCATTTCAGCCTGCTGAAAGAATTGCTTCATTCTGCTTCTTCCCTGCTGAGCCTCAACAAAAGTGTGGATCTTGTGCAGGGTCCTGGTCAGACGTGAGAAACAGTAATAGATGAGGGAGATAGAGGAACTTACTCTGTGAATTTCCCCAAACTGTGCAACATGCTTGGTGATAATTTACCACCGGTATCAGAACGTATATGAAGGTAGATGGTGCCATAGAGCAGTTCCTGGAGTTGCTCCAACATTTGTGTACAATCATCCTTGTTTTTCTTGATGGTTTGCCAAATCTTAGAGAACTGTGAGGATACATCCATTGCAAGAATTTACCTGTACAGCGGTCAATAAAGACCGTGCAGTTGTTGAGATGGGTCCCAAGAATGGTGCCATGAGGCTGTCGGAAACTACTTCTAGAGTTGCCACGGCAGCATCCAAGCATGTTACAATGCTGTTCAAGCGAATTTGAGCTACAATGGGACGAGGGGGCATCATGACGATTGTCTCGTCTTCATCATGCCAAGGGGCAGATTTTATCGTACGTGCCATGGGAAATTCAACACTGATTGGCTGCTAATTTACCACTCCTGGGCCCTGGATCTGCCATGAGCACTTGATCAGCCTGGGTGACACCCACTCCACAGCAGCGAGCACTGAAGATTTCGGGCTTCCATCGTGATGCCCACTGCCAATCTGGCTACTTCCGTAGGCAATGAAATGCTATCATTTTCCAGGGCGGTGTCATTTCAATGACATCCTGACAGATCCACTGCTGATCAAGATATTAATATTAGATCCTCTCAACAATTGTCACTGCTCCGCTGCTAGTCAAAGAAGCTGAATGGTATCATGACAGGCTGCTCCTGCGTCATTGGTGGTTCATCTATAGGTCGCATCTGGACCGTCGACTAGCAAGCTATTCCCTGCCTCACCGTTCCTCATTGTATTAGAAATTTGGAATTAATAGTTTTCTATACTCAGCAAAGCCGAACTACAATCGAAGCCCAAAGACCTCATAGCAGGACATAAATTTCACTACCAGCAAGCCCACCGAGCCGTTTTTGGTTTTTCTAAGGTGCTGCGAGGGTACGTTGAATTATCAAGGGAACTAATATGCCAAGGAATCAAGCCCAGCAGAAACATGAGTGGGGGTGGAACAAAAAAGTGAGACAACTAGAAAGTAAATGAGTAGAACAGGCATCCTCCGCAGAATTGCTATTCCGACATTCCACTTGGCACATTTCTTTGACTTTGCCGAGTGACTCTGGTGCCAGGCCAGTGTTGAAATTTGAATTGTTGGGTAACGATCCGAGTGAGCCGCCTGCAGAAGCTCGAACTTAAGGTCAATCGCAAATAGTCCAACACAGAGTTCGGGCAGATGATCAAGGTGTTCAAAGCTTCAGTAGTGGGAGAGGTCAAAAATACTCTTAAACTCCCACAGATGCCGATTCGAACAGGCGTCTCCTGCAGAAATTCGTGGGGAAGATAGCCAATACTTGCAGGCGTGGACCATCCACCACTAAACCTTTCCATGCCTTGGGCCGTTCCTAATTTTACTAGAGCGAGGTAGGTAGGTAGGTAGGTAGTATTACACGGCACGGTCCGAATAACAAACACCGGTTTCCAGGAATTATCCCGGTGTACAAAGCAAGTAAATTACACCATCGTTCCTGGACCTCTCCCCGCCATCTGAACTCCATAACGCAGATCCCACAGGTTTCCCCCATGCACCACGGTAGACCTCAGGCAACGAACAGAGGTAAGGCCTGGAATCTAGCCATCAGACATCTCTACCTACGATACACGGGAAAGGCATAGAATTCCTCAAGGATTTCATGCACGAATTTTCCAACCAACAAAATTGTGGAGTGTTCATAGATTATGGCCTTTAAAACTCAACACCTGTGAGTTGTGCCATTTTATTCTGCAGGGCAGGCACAGTACGGAATAATTTGTCTAGAAACACAGTGCACAGGTTGAGAACTTTCTGCGACGCCTGGCATTCTAATAGCACGTGTTCCGGGCTTTCCACCTCCGTTTTGCAGAACTGACAGAAGCGCTCACTGCGGGGTACGGGTCGGTGATCGTGGTCAACATGCCGCAACTTTTCCAAGGCAAGCGAATGGGTAGACAACATGATGGAAGTTATGGCCTCCCGGTGGCTCTGTGTCTTCACCATAGACAGGTAGTGCCTTAGGTATAAGGTTTTTTGTGCAGCAGGTTTATCCTTTTGAGGTTCACGTCTTCCATGTAGCAAGTAGAGTTTATCCGAGGTGTCGACTTCACGCTGCAACAAATCAATTGCGCATTTCTCTACAGACTTTCTGTAGGCCTCGATGCTCTGTTCCGTTCCGTTGTACTACTGAAGTCAGGAGGCGGATGCTGAGAGTGGCAGTGAATATTTTACAGGAATGGACGGTCCATCACCGAGCCGTTCCCTAACTCCGAGGTATGGCTTGGGCCCGACTTGAACGGGCTGCTCCCGCAAACATTTGATTGATAATCCACTGGAGAATATTTGCAAGTGCGGATCGTCCACCACCCTTTTTCTCTCGCTCTGTTCCTCATATTGTTCGAGAATCAGGTGGATTGATTTTCAGTGCGAGAGGGAAAAGCTGACACCCGTAGAATGGCTCAGGCCCGAATCGAACGGGCTCCTCCTGCAAACATTTAGTTGACAGCGCATTGTCGAATAACTGGCAGGTGTGGACCGTCCACCACCGAGCCTTTCTGTGGCTTGTTCCGTCACTCAATTTATTAGCGAGAGCCTTGTTAGTTTGTTGAGAGCAAGAGAAAATTGCTGGAAGGCCTACGAATGGCTCGGGCCCGAGTCGAACGGGCGTCTCCTGCAGAAGGGCATTAATGGGATCCCAATAATTGGCAGGCGTGGACCGTTCACCACCGAGCCTTTCTATCGCTTGTCCCGTCCCTGATTTTATGAAAGCGAAGGAAGGTCAAATCGTGGTGTGAGCGGTAAAAATGTTTCTCAACTCTGTTGGAATGGCTCGGGCCCGAGTCGAATGGGTTCTACCTGGTGCAAGTCGACTCCCCAAACTATGTTTTGCAGGTGTGGTCCCTACCTTATGCCGTTCCTCAATTATTAGCGCCAAGATTGAATACGCACGAGAAAAAGAATACATTTGCCCCGCGAATGGCTCGGGCCCGAGTCGAACGGGCTCCTCCTGCAGAAGCTTCTGAAGTTGTAAAAGCAAGATTTGCAGGTGTGGACCGCCCACCACTGAGCCGTTTCATTCCCTGTTCAGTGCCTCCATTTATTAGAGCGATGAAGGTTCATTCGGGGTGCGAAGGGAAAAAGTTCAGGAACTGCCGAATGGCTCGGGCCCGAGTCGAACGGGCTCCACCTACAGATATGTCGAGGTATACACGGAAATACGTGGAGGTGTGGACCGTCCACCACCGAGCCTTTCCATAGCCTGTTCTGTCCCTCCTTTTCAGAGAAATCTCAGTGAGTGGGAAAAAATGCAGCAATGCCAAAATATGGCTCGGACCCGAGTCGAACGGGCGTCTCCTGCAGCATTCTCTCAGTCGCTCTGCACATATTTTGCAGGCGTGGATCATCCACCACCGAGCCCTGCTATAGCTCGTTTTGTGCCTCATCTTACTAGCGCCAGGATTGAATACGAACGAGAAAAAGAATACATTTGCTCCGCGCATGGCTCGGGCCCGAGTCGAACAGACTCCTCCTGCAGATGTCTCGTGTATACTGGCGATCTTTCGCAAGCGTGGACCGTCCACCACCGAGCCATTACATACCTCATTCCGTTCCTGATTTTATTAGAGTGAAGAAAGTTAATTTGTGGAGAGCGAGAGCAAAAAGGGCAAACATCCATAGTTATGGCTCGGGCCCGAGTTGAACGGGCTCCTCCTGCAGGAGGCACTGGCTCCTCGTTCACATTTCGCAGGTGTGGACCATCCACCACCGAGCTGTTCTCTGCCTGCCCGTACCTCACTTTATTAGCGTGAGGAAAGGTTAATATGTTGAGAGAGATAAAAGATTATTACGGATTGCTGCCGAATGGCTCAGGCCCGAGTCGAACGGGCTCTACCTGCTGCAGGTGTTCACGGCGATATATTTTGCAGGTGTGGGCCATCCACCACCGAGCCTTGCTATAGCCTGTACCGGTCCTGATGTTATTAGAACGAAAGTTAGCTTGTGGACAGCGAGAGAGACAAAATAGCTCACGACATCGGAATGAGAGAAAAAATCGGTGATTACAAGGAATGGCTCGGGCCAGAGTCGAACGGGCTCCTCCTGCAGCATTCCCTCGTCGCTCTGCCATATTTTGCAGGTGTGGGCCATCCACCACCGAGCCTTGCTATAGCCTGTACCGGTCCGGATTTTGTTAGAGCGAAGGATGGTTAATTTGGGCAAAGCGAGAAAAAGATGTATCACCCATTTGGAATGGCTCAGGCCCGAGTCGAACGGGGTACTCCTGCTGACATTGTGCTAATGAGCAATCATATCTTACAGGTGTGGACCATCCACCACCGAGTCTTTCCATGCCCTATCCTGTTCAGAGAATCCCAGAGATCTCAGTGAGTGGGAAAAAATGCGTCAATGCCAGAATATGGCTCGGGCCCGAGTCGAACGGGCTACTCCTGCAGAACTCGGGCAATGTTCATTTATAGGTTGCAGGTGTGGACCATCCACCACCGAACCGTTCCCTCCCTCCTCCCATTCTCAATTTATTAGAGCAAAAAACGATTTGCTCAACGCAAGAACGAAAAAGAATGAGGTCCATCGGAAATGGCTCGGGCCCGAGTCGAACGGGCTCCTCCTGCAGAAGCCGGTACACTTGAGAATCAAGTTTTGCAGGTGTGGACCGTCCACCACCGAGCCGTTCCTCCCTCCTCCTGTCCCTAACTTTACTAGACCCTCAGGCAGGGTTGAATTGTTCGCCTCAAATTGCTCAACTTTACCTCCACACTCCTACACTGGTACCATATGTAGATTTGAAGACTGAAGATTCTACTGGGACTAAAGTACTGAGTGCAGACGGGCGCGGGACGTTCGTTGAGTGGTCATAATAAAAATAATAAAAATAAAAATTGAAAAAACAGTCGAATCGATTCAGATGGCCCAGGCCCGAGTCGAACGGGCTCCCTCCGCAGAAGGTGGGGTCGATCGAGTCACATCTTGCGGATGCACAACCATTGTGCTACTGAGCCGATGTCGGGGGATATATTTCTTGGAATTTGCTGAGAGCCGTTCGCTATTACTGTTATTTGCATAAGTCCGTGAAAACGCTTTTTTTTTTTTTGCACGCCGTCACGTGGCTTATGTAAGATGGTGATGTCCCCCAAAATAATGCACCTTACGCCTAGCCTTGCCCAAGCCTCGTTGCATCAAGGCTTATAGCTTCATCACTCAATGAAGGCATATCCTTTTGCCCACATCATGCCCGCCGAAATCTCGTCTGATTTGAAAGATGGCATCGTCAAATGTAGTACTTCGAGGATGAGTACACCATGTAAGAAATTGTAGACCTCGCAGGCGTCTCCCTCGGACTGACTTGTCAAAGATAAACCTTTATCACAACTACGGCCAGGTCACCAATCCATTCAGCAATCGAACTGGTCGCCCACGGAGGCTGAATGATGCAGATCTACGATACCTGGAGGAGATCGTGTATGCTAATCCTACTCTCTCTCTCGACAAGCTCCAATTGACCCGGGAGGTGGCAAGCACATCAGCAGCTCTTGGATTGAGCTTCGATTCTTGCTGCTTTTGGTGTGCATTTCTCTGTGCTGATTTCGAACGTTCCACTGTCCACTCAAGAGTGGCGTGAATGTAGAGGAGGCAAGTCTCTTCGACAGGTTCTGGGAGGAAAATGAGAAGCTATTGGATGGTAAAATAGAAAGGCTGTACCATCAATATCATTGGTGTTCTCGGAGTCGGAATGAACTGTTGCATCAGCAGGAAGAGAACCTGTAGAGCTTTCAGACAAACAAACAGAAATGCGCACAATGAAAGCAAATTCACCATCAGGTCCGGCGGGGGGTGCATCTACCCTTCCTCGTGTCGTAAGAGGGTTAACCACAACATCACTACCAGGGACATGATATGGATGCATCAGGTGTGGAGCAAAGGTAGGTGTAACAACATGATGTGTGAGGCACTGAGGTCCATCCATAGCCGGAAAGTCTCGTATTTATAGTCTCGCTGAGTGCACGGACCTATTTTCCGGGATATCACCTTTTGCTCAATGAACGGGAGTGTTGCTTGACGGACGGGAGTGCCTATGCAAAGGATGCATGGTGCGTGGCAGAGATCTGGCCGAGTTTCATGCCCCAAGAGGCACCCAAAACCAGTAAAACATATCCAGGAAAGGTCCTACATTATTATTGCACCAGAGGAGTAGATAGGAATGGTCTACATCGAGGTCGAAAGCAAGAGGAAATTGGGGCTCCGGCCGCATCACCCCGGCTTACATCATCCACGTGACGGCGCGCAAAAATTTTGCGTTTTCACGGACTTATGCAAATAACAGTAAGTCAATTCCCGGTGTTGAAATTGTTGGTGAGCGCTGCTCAGACGTCACCTTTCAGACGTCACCTTGGACCATGTACATATATATTCCCAAATCGACCTGTCATCGCATCAGAAACATGCAAAGAATTGAAAGAGTGCCGCAGTAGGAGCAACCAGCGATGGGGACGAACAAAAGGACCCGAGACAACCTGAGACAGGGGCTTCCGGGCACCACGGCGAAGCGTGTGGGTCAGCATCACGGCACAGCGTGACACCGCCTGACACCGAACAGCACGCGCCCATTATGTAATCAAATCAAATTTTGCTCTCCTTTTACCGCCACTGCCACCGACACTAGTACTAGTACTGCCAGCACGATGTCCTCCACGTCGCCCACGCCGTTCTCCACGTCGGCCTCGTCGTCGTCGTCGCCCGCGCCGTTTCGGATGTGGTCCTCGGTGCCGGCGAGCACGGCCGCGTCGAGTCCGGCGCCGGACGGGGAGGGGGTGAAGGAGGAGGAGGAAGAGGTGAGCGGCGACCTTGTGCGTTTTCATGGCGCGTGCTGACTGGGTTTGTAGGAGGAGGGGAAAGACAGCGCGTTCCTCGCGCCGCTCGCAGCGGCCGCACCTGACGCGGTCAAGCAAGAAGCGGTCGAGCGAGACGAACAGGAGGAAGAGGACGAGGACGAGGACGAAGAGGAAGCGATCTCAGCGGCCGACGCGGCGCGGTACCAGCGGCTCGAGTACGTGCTCGAGAAGAGCGCGGCCTTCAGCGCGCTGCTCACCGCGCAGATGGAAAGCGCGAAGGAGCGCCATCTAGAGGCGACGCGTGAGCGGCGGGCGGCGGCGCGTGAGCGCGAACGGGAGGAACGCGAGGCAAGGCCGGCGAAGAGGAGGAGGCGGGGGCGCCGCGTCGAGCCTGAGGAAGAGGAGGAGCAAAAGACCAAGAGGAGGAGGACGACGAAGGCGCGTTCCCACAGCCGGCGCTGGTGACGGGCGCGCGGCTGAAGGACTACCAGCTCGAGGGGCTGCAGTGGATGGTCTCCCTCCACGAGAACGGCATCTCGGGCATTCTGGGTGCGTCTTTTTCCTTCCCCTCCCTTCCTTTCCCTTGCTCGCGTGCTAACACGTCGTTCGCAGCGGACGAGATGGGTCTCGGCAAGGTGCGCTTCCTCCCCTCTTCTGTGCTACGTGCAAGATAAACTGATACGTGGTACGTGCAGACACTGCAAACAATAGCATTCTCCGCGCACCTCCGCGAGCTCGGCTTCTCGCGCCCGTTCCTCATCGTGTGCCCGCTCAGCGTTTTGCACAACTGGGCGGAGGAGTACCGGAAGTTCGCGCCTAAAGTACGTGTCGTTTTTCTCTCTTCTCTTCGTGTCGTGTCCTCTCTTCTTGCCGTGAATCCTCTGCGTTTCCTTTCCCTCTCCCGCCCGACCCTCTCCCACACGGATACGCGTCACCCCTCGCTTCTCTCCCCCCTCTGACCTGTACCACCCGCTCGCCACGTTTTCGCTTCCCATTCCCCCGCATCCCCGCCCACCCGCCTTCCCACCGTGAATACGCGCATTCCCTTGCCTTCGCCCCTTCCCACCGCTTACACGCGCATTTCATTTCCCGTCTTACCCCCTACTTTCCCACCGCTCATACTAACACGACGTGCACAGATCCCCGTAGTCCTCTACCACGGCACCCCCGCCGAGCGCGCCGAGCTGCGGCGCACGGTTATGGCGCTCCCCGCGAAGGTCAAGGTGCGCGTCGGCGGTCATGATGACGAGGCCGAGGCCGAGCCTACGCCGACTCCGAGTCCCGCGAAGAAGGGGAGGCCAAAGAAGGCGTTGCCGAAGACGACCCCGGCGGCAAAGGCCAAGGCCAAGGGGAAGGCGGAGGCGAAACCAGCACCGAAGACGGCGGCGAAGGGCAAGGGCAAGGCGGCGCCTGCCCCGAGTACGCCAAAGGGGAAGGGGAAAAAGGCCCCACTGGCACCTCCGACGCCCAGGGGCAGGGCCTCGCTCAAGCGGAAACGCTCCGCCTTCTTTGGCGGTGACGACGCCGCCGACATTGAGGCTGACGAGGGTGACGAGGGTGATGACGAAGCGTGGCAGCGCGGGCCCGAGGGCGGGACGTGGAAGTGGGACTTTCCGGACATGCCGCACTTCCCGGTCATTTTGACGACGTACGAGCTCATCATCAAGGACCGGCCGGTGTTGGGGGGGTATCCGTGGGGGTGAGTGTTCTCTGTCTGGTCTTTCTCTGTCATCGTCTGTCTTTCGTACCCCGCTTGTGTTGCGTACCCCGCTTGTGTTGCGGTGTCTTTTGTGCTGGGAATGTGTGCGTGGAATGGCGTGTACGCCCAGCGCTTTCTGCATTCACGCATGGGGCGGCGGGGGCGGTGTACGCGCGTCTCTGCCTGCCGCGTTTCTTTTCAGCGTTCTTCATTTTCGCGCCCGTCCGCATCCCCTGCCACTCTTGCCCTCTCCTCCCCTCCCTTCTTGCGGTTTCCCTGCTTCCCATTGCTTGTTCGTCGTTCGACCGCCCTCCTCCCACCTCCCTCCACCGCGCTCGCGCAGCCTCCCTGCGACCGGCTTTCGCCTGGCTCGCTTCTTCCCTCGCCGCTCCTCCGCTCCTCCGCTCCTCCGCGTCCTTTCCCTTCCTGCTCCTTCCCGTCCTGCTCCTGCTCCTTCATTCGGCATCCGTCCCTTTGGTGTCCCAACCCGCTCGTGCCTCCCCGTCCCCTCCCCACCTTCCTCTTCCTCCGCTTCCACACCCTTCTTCCGCCGTCCTCCCCCTCCTCCTCCCCCCTCCTGCTCACCGCTCACTTCCTCCCCCCCTCGCACCTTTCGCTGACGCTCCGCACAGGTACATAGTAGTCGACGAGGGCCACCGCCTCAAGAACATGCGCTGCGCGCTCGTGCGCGAGGTCAAGCGCTACGACAGTGCCGGGCGGATGGTGCTCACGGGGACGCCGTTGCATGTGCGTGTTCCTTTTCTTGTCTCAGCGTGGTCTTTGGGGGATGGATGTAGACGGGGCCGGGGAGGGGGAGTTGGGAGAGAGGGTGCGTTGGACGAGGGCGATGCCCGCCTGCCCGGCGCGCCGAAAGCTTCACTGAAGCGTGGCGATACCCGCGCAGGCACGGACGGCGCGTGTAAAGGAGTGCAGGGTGTTTCTGCCTCGCCCCCTCGCATACGCGTCGCTAGCGCCATAGCCGTGTCTGGGCCGGGGACGCGTGTACGCATGGGAGCCGCGTGCGTCGAAGGGGTCGTACGCCTCGGCGCCGCGTAGACGTGCGCGGCCTCCACGCCCCCGTCTTTCTTTCATTTGCTTCTTCCCTTTCCCTTCCGTTTCTCTCTCCCCTACCCCCACACACCGACGCTGACGCTGACACGACGCCCGCAGAACAACCTCGCGGAGCTGTGGTCGCTGCTCAACTTTGTGCTGCCGGACATTTTTGACGACGTGGATGCGTTTCAGGAGTGGTGAGTGTTCTTCTCCTTCCGTCTTGTCCCCTTTTTTGTCGTTGTCCATTTTCGATTCCCCCGTACACCACTCTTCGTGCTCCCACTTGCGCTTTGCATTATTCGATACCTGTACTTCATCCCTCATCCCCACCTCCTCTGTGTCTGTGTGTCTGCTGCGCCTTCCCCTACTTCGCGCCCCTTCTTCGCTCCCCGCCCCCCTCCCCTCCTTCCGCTGCCGC